CCTCAGCCAGCAAAGCTGGCTGAGGAATTCTGGGAGTTGAAGTCCACAAGTCTTAAAGTTGTCAAGGTTGGACACCCCTGATCTAGCCCAACTGTTTGAATTCACTCAGGTGTATCAAAAAACTAACCAAACGGGCTACATTTATGCAGCCCCCCCCCCAAATTCTTACAAGATTATAAAGCTAGCAAATCAGGTGAACACAGATGCTACATCTTTAGTTGGCTTGGTAAAACAAGTTGCAGACATTCAGAAAATAATTTCTTTCATTTCTGTTCATCCTAGAAACTTGCATTAGGTGTTAGGCTAATTCTGAACCAATATCTGAAATTCCAAAGACTTTAATTGACACAAGTGCATTTGTGCGTGCATTTGCCTACAGCCTTCTTGAAGCTGCACAGACTGGTCATCATCCTCATGTCTTGTTGGGAAAAAATTATTGGAACATCCCTTCCCATCTTTATGCTTTTTATATATGGAGACATGTCCCATCATATATAGAGAATACTTGATTGTGAACCCTGTTTTAGATTAACAATTTGCTTAGAATTACATCCTTCCTTATATCTTTCTTGATTTTCTTGCCAGATGTTCCACTGAATGACTAAATAAGAGGTGTTTTTTCCCTATAGACTATGAATTATGTATATGCCATTAAAGAATTTTGCAGTTTCAAGGAGCTTTAGTGCTTTGGAATAAAACTGCATAGAAATCAGTACCACAAATGTTTTTGATACATGGTTATATGTTTCTTCTCCTATGCCTTGACATTGTTATGGCTGTTCAATATGTTACTAGCTGAAGGTCCATTAGTTTCAGTAACAGTGGAAAAATAGAATCTTGGAGCTGGCAAGGGTCATTGAAATGTTCTGGTCAATGGAGAAATCCAAATTAACACACATAACCCAAGATGAAAGTCTATTTTTGAACACACATGGATACATCTAAGTGAAGTAGACCCCACCACTCCCTAGATCATTGCTCCCATTGCCACATTTCTCTTACTGTTAAGAAGAATTTTTCCCCTAGCATTTAAGCAAGAATGATCCTAGATATGATAAATTTGATGTCTGTTTTATTTTTAAAAACTCTATTAGCATTTGAGTGTCCTTGAGTCTCTTTTTATTGAGCTAAAGTGAAATCTAAGTTTTAAAGATTAAGAGATGAACTATGCAGTATTTTTAAAACCTGCAAAAGGATCATAGGCTCAATCTTTCACAGCTTGCAAATTTTCTCCTCCTATTCCCAAGTATGAAATTTATTACAATGTTGTAATTAAAATCTGGCAGGGCTATCACAGAGCAGAAAAAAAAATCTGTCAATGCCAACCTTGGCTCACTGATTACCATTTGGCCATTCTTAGTAATGAGCAATCAGTGCATTTTCTTTAAAAAATATTATTATTTCCATATTATTTATGTCTTGCTTGTTACTTGTAGGAAAATCCCAAAGCAGGAATATAACCCATTTTAAAAAGAATTGCAATTAAACATAAATAATTCAGTTTCAAATGTATGTCCTGCCACTTTTCATTGGTTGGAACTATACATTCCTATGACTCAAGGTCAAAGATGCTTTGATTCAGAATCAAATAAAGCCAGACCCAGAAAATGCAGCTATACCTATTAAACCTATAAACCAACAGAATGGATAAAGAAGCTAGTACTGCTATAGCCAAACCAATCCAAAGTGGGATGAGGTTGTATCCAAGTCAAAGTTGACTTTCACATCTGTATATTTCTAATACTTCCTGAATTCATCCTTTCCCTCCTTGAATTGCTGAAGATACCAACAGGGCAGGCAAAGGTAGAGCTTCAGAAATAGAACAACAGATAATATCCTAAATTGGTCTATTGGCAGCAACACACTGAAGTTGTCAATGTTTCAAATGGCTCTTCTTGGTTAAAAGGATGAAACCTCCAGGGCTTCAAACTGCTGCTCAAATAAAATGTCTAACTCTAAGAGAGTCTTTCATAATCCTACTTGTTTCAGTGTATGTGGCCCATATCTAGTTGCAAGTGTTCAAAGATTCTGCAAAACTCTTGTAAAAGAGTCCACCCAATTTAAGCCAGTGGTCAAGTTCTATGAGGACCAAATGTTGCTAAGCATGTCCATGTTGAAATGGCATTTGGAAGATTCATATATATCCTGCTAACTTCAGCATTTGGTCAAATACATAAAGAAAGGGAGGTCTCACACAGAATAAAAGTCCATCACACAGAAGAAGGCCAAGACATGTTTTGACCACTAAAAGGAGGTTTATAGCAATCATTTTAATTCATGGAAGATAAATATTGATTGAATCTTAGGAAAAAGTTCGGAACTGTAAGAGCAATTTGACAGCTGAACCAGTAATCCAGACAGCTGGCAGATCGCCTTTCAATATCCTTTGGAATTCTAGGAGTTTAAGTCCACATATCTTAAAGGCTTGTGAAAAGCATGGATGCTGAACAGCAGGATGTGTGGCATATAAATTTAATAAATAAAACAAATAAATGACAGGGATGTTTTAAATGGGATTCCAGAACAGGACAGAGAATTGGATTTGGTGCAGTAATAGCCTCTTCTAAAAAACCTGGGTCTCCAACATCTTTACATGTCTCTCAGCTCCATTTTAGCTTCAGTTTTGCCAACATAAGGGCACCCATTTTGTTTTATACTGAGTGATGGTCAATGTGTGCACCTTGTCCTATATTTAAATGCCCCACCTTTCTTCCTTTGATAGTGGTATTTGGCCAGTTTGCCTTCTTCCAGACAGCTCTCCATGACATCATTGAAGTACATGATGGTCCAAACCAACATTCTCGCCTCCTCAGCTCTCTCTCTGGTTCTCATACGGGTAAGGAGAGGTTCTGCCTCTGTCTTTCCTCCTGTGGGTAAAAAAGCTTTCTGAGAGATGTCCATCAAAAACTGTAGGCATGCCTTGATTGTGGAATTGTTAAAGGGTCATGCTATCTTTGTTCAGTCTATGCATTCCATTCCTGCTTTGATATCAGTTCTATGATGGCTATTCGAGTGTATTCTTTGTGGTTGTCTAAAACATTTAGCCTAGGGAAAAGGAAAGTTATTCCACCATTGTTCACACAATTTTCAGGGGAGGTGTTATTTATAGAGAAATGAAACTGAGTACAAACAGATCTAATTTCCACTTTGACAACTATAAGTAATATCTTGTCCACCAATTTGTGGAGCCACTGTAAAATGTTGTACAAAGAACTATCAATGGATATGTTCTGTTAGCTGTAGCTGATCCTGAATGCAGCAGTGAGATTGCTCAGAAGTCAATAGGTTGTATAAATGTTCTTAATTAATAATAAATAAATAATAAACTGTAGCTGATAGATATCCCAGACTGATCTTGGTTTTATTTAGGTAAACATTCAAAGTTCACTGGGCAGAAGGCAAATATATTTGTCCCAGGCTAATATGGCAGGATTCAATCTGGGCTGATCACCAAGACCAGAGGTTTAGTCTTCTGAGGTTTTGGACTTGTGCTATAGCCCATCCTTGGGGAATTTCTCTCTACCAGAATAGGCTATTCTATGCATAGAATTTATGTGGTGCCTGGTTGTGTGAGGCTTTTTAGTTGTTGATTGGGGTGCTGATGGCCATCTATTAAATCATTGTCTGTTGCTTCCTTCTGCTGCCAAGTCCTTGGCTCCTGAGTACCTGACAAGCTGGTAGTAAATCAGCACTCCTGTTGACTGATAAGGAGACCATTTCCCAGGCTTCAATCATTTCCCTGGCTATTTTTGTACCTGCTCGGCCCACAAACTTAATAGCTGCAAAATTGAATGTCCTTGTTCATTGCGATGTATGACTACCAATAAGTTTCAGTCTTCTTGTCTGACCACTCACTTGTGTTCCTGCAATCTGGTTGTTACTTTTCTCTCCATTTGTCCTACATAGTCAGAGAGGCAATCTATGCAGAGGATCTGGTAGATTACATTAGAAGCATCTCCCACCTTCAAGCAATCTTTGCAATACATTTGTCCTCATATGGTAGCCTCTGGACGGTGTGTAATGCCCACTTGCAGATCTCAAAAGTTGTGTTCTACTGTTTCTGAAATGTTTTTGATGCATGATAGGGAAGGACCAATGTGATAATGTCTATATGATTCTAACAATAATTTCATCAGAGGCAATGAAACAGGCAATGACGGGAAAAGATATTCCTTCTATGCAGTGCCTTCCCCTAATGCCTTCTCACCAAGTACCCACTTTATGGCCTTTTTGGCTACAGGAGTAGAAGTTTTGATTCTCCCAGGTATTGTCCAAAACCTTTTAGTGAGTTGAGGTCATTTGCTTTCATTTTAATCTATTTCCTACTTTCACTTCAAGTTTATGTATTGCTTTTAAACTTGTTGTTTGCTTTCCTTTGTTTTTTTTTTAAATGTGCTATATTTTTTTTCATAAATCAACATTTTTACTTTAGTGGAGCTTGATTTACCTAATTTGCAGGTGTGCTGTTCATAAAATGTAGGTGATAATCTGCTCCGAGAACCTAATAAAGGTGTTTCTTATTTTATTGCATTTTGCTGAAGATTGTTTTTTCCTCCCTTCCTAGGTGAATCATTGCCTCTGGCTACCACAAACCAAATACTGATCAAATTCAGTGCTAAAGGGCAGGCCACAGCCAAAGGTTTCCATTTTGTCTATCAAGGTAGGTGAGGAGTCTGGAAATAACTCTGCTGACTGTGACAGTCAAATAAAAATAGAGCACAAGAACTCCAGAAATAATAGGAAAGATTGTGGCCTGAAGTTTTCTGAATGGAGAATATGCCATGCTGCAATTTATGGTGAATTTAAATGTAAACTCAGAACTCCTCTGGGCTCAGACATAAAATCTTATTGCATCAGTTTTTTTTCCTTTGTTCCTCACCTTCTCCTGACATTTGCTTGTTTACGCAAGGCATGTTATGTGACGAAAACACTTGAATTTTGCTTATCAGAGTTTGTGTCTTAGTGTATAATCAGAATTTAGGCAATGTCTGGTAGAATTGGAATGGAAATTCTATAGTAGAGGTATGGAATCAAAAATTCCAAAAATCAACTTGGCCAGTTTACTAGGTAAAATGATGAGAACTCAGCAGGAGTTCCACTGATTTAGTTTGCTATTTACTTTACTTTCAAAGACATTGATAGCCACCAAATCATAAGCAGGGATGAAGGGGGTGTCCTGTAAGGGCTAGAAGGATTAGCAAGTACTATTGAGGTCAGTAGATGTTGAAACATGTTTATGTCATCCACTGAAGCCACTTTGTGAGTGAGCCAGAATCTTCTCCTGACAGCCATGTGGTAAGAGCACATGGCCAACATTTTAAATGGGAAAAAGATTACACACTCCAGAGCTAGGAGAATTCTTAAAGAAAACATTCTAGCATCAAATGAAATATGAGCCAAATTAGAAGAACAACGTAGTGCCTTTCTTCTGCTGTATGAGCTATCCATTGCATATCACTTGTTTATATATCTTCACAACACAACACAGACTGAATGGTCATACATCAAAGATGCTGAGGCTAATTGTGAGAGATGGTGCCAATGGAAAGGATGCTGGTATGATGGACTACAGTGAAGTAGGAGACAATTTCCCAGGAAGGGAAATTCCAGAAACTGGAATTTCCAGAAACTGTGGGTAGACATGCAGCACCACAGCCTCATGGATAGGATTCAGAGCATAAGGATAGCCACACCCAGGGAATATCCATATAGGTTTAATCTGGCAAGAGTCTGTTTATTGTATGTAAGCAAATACAGAACTGAAAACTCTGGATGCTTGGCTGAGCCTGAGAGTGATCAAGCATTGAGAAGAAAGTAAACTATATGAGTTGAGATGTTCCTTCCAGTTCTGTGGTTTTGTGACTCCCAGTTGCCCCACATGAACTGACAGTGAGATCTTTGCAAAGAAAGCAAAGCAAAGACTTAGTTCAGTATACCTCTAAACAAGTCAGCACTTTGGCAAGTTCCAAATGTCAGCAGCCACCCTAGTGGCACTGGTTTTTGTTTTTTTTTTCCGTGGAAAATATCCAGAGACTGCCCCCCCGCCACACATACACATTTTCCCTCTTAAATAGGCTGCTTTTGTGCAAAGTGCCTACATGCAAAGTGCCTGCCTGGTTCTCCACCAAAAGCCTCTCTTGAAATGCTACTTTTAGATTCTTTGAACAAGCTTTACTTTTTCATAGATTTTTGTTCCCCGGGATGTTTTTCAAAGGCTTCAATAAGGGAACGCCTAATTAATAACACATCTGATATATGTGATGTTCTCCAGAGGGGATAAGAAAAAAAAACCCTCTGAGAGTTATTCTCCAGAAGGACCTCAGCATCAGGGTTTCCCCTTGGAAATGTGGCGGAGTTTGATTTAGGGCAAAATGTGAGCCACCACAGAGAAACTCCGTTTGAATTCCTTTTGATGCTTTGTCTGCCTAATCAGAGATCCATTCAGTCATCACTCAGCCTGGTTTGGAGACATATTTTGATAGCAATTTTTAATGATTTAACTAGACATTGAAGAAGTCAAATGAAAGTTTCCTTCTTCTCTCCTAAATATAATTGCAAGCCCCCACCCCTACAGTTTTTGCTGATTGCCTCTCTATAAAAAATTGAAATGCAAATGTAGGCATTTCCTACTTCTATGCCTGACTTTCTTAAGTTCACATCAGATTAATCTCTATTTCAGGGCTGTCAAACTCATGGCCAAAAGGCCAGATGCATCCCGTGCTGGCCACACCCACACCCGGTTTAGCGAAGGGGAAAAAAGTCATGATACATCACGTGATGCCAGCCTGACAGTGCGAGTTTGATATCCCTGCTCTATTTCATCCAACTTGTCTTCAAATCTTTAGAATGCACAGGAAATGTATCACTTTGGTTTGAGATACACTCCTTTAGGTGCTGTTCACATTCTACAATGTGTGAGAAATGCCTTCTTCTTGTCAAGGGATCAAAAATGCACCCTAACCAGTTTGGGGAAGGTAGCATAGTTTTACTTGCCAAGAAAATCCACACTAACTAATTTACTAACTATGGAGGGTTATATATGAGGGAAGTTGCTTGGACCAGCAGTAGTTGATTCCAAATGAATATTAGTTTCCAAATCTACCTCTGATTTCTAACTTATGTCTCTCTACACAAAGAACTAGTCCAAATAATAAAGATGTGCTTGACTAATGTTCTCTCTTCCTCTTCCTCTTCCTCTCCCTCTCCCTCCCTCTTCCCCCCCCCTCTCTCTCTCTAACACACACACACACACACACACCACACATCTTCTCTTTGCAGCAACAGCATCAAACTAAAACCTGTTTCTTCAACCTTATTGACTAGTGAAATTCTGTTCAAATCATATCACTTAAAACAGCACAAAATGCTGCTTTATCCTGGGGTAAACTTTCAAAGTGGGAATTTCATTCTGAGGTCAGAACAACTGAAATGTTCATTTTGAACTCTGAATATTTTCTCCGAACAAACAAATGACTACCTAAAGTGGCCCAGAGATTTCTTGTCCATCTATCTTTTCCATAGCCCCAAGCCTCAGCACTCCATGCCTTATCCACCTCATGAATTTTTTTTATGGCAAAATCAATCATTACCTACTATCATCTGTTTCTGTGCCATAAATGAGCAGTGAAATTGATGAACAGCAGGCAGGAAATAAAATAGGCAAAGAAAGAAATCAGTAAAATCTGGTTCTGGGAAGGAATTATTTCAGATACTATTTGCATTGTAGGTGATGTTCTAGCTACTTCTAACTTTTATCTCCTGATAAAAGGATCTGCTTACCAAGTCTATAATGTTCTTAATTTAAAACATAAATAAACACAAGATCCTTTGTTACATTTATGTCCTCCATAGTGTCACTCTGGATGACTCTGGATTCAGCACTAAATTTCAGCTGCAGAAGGTTCTGATATTTACTTCTGGAATGGTCTGATCCTCCTGAAAAAATTCAGAAAAAAGGGGAGATATAAGGACTTAATCTCTTGGATATTGATACCAGTTTTTCTAATAACTCTTGCTATTTATCATATAACGCACCCTGCATTTTGCCTCTGGGAGCTTTCCTGGAAGATGAAGAAAAGGTCATTTCATTACCTCACCAGGAAATAATGATAAATACAAGCTATAACACAAGGACACTTTTAAAGTATATGTTTCACCCTTGATCTCTTTCACAAAGTTTATTTTAAGAGCTTGAAAGCCAAGCTCAATGAAGAAGCTTTCCATTGGGTTCAGCATCTATCCTGTTCCATAATGTTCTCCTTTCTCTGTCTTTTGAAGCGGTTCCACGAACCAGTGCCACCCAGTGCAGCTCCGTGCCAGAGCCCCGTTACGGGAGACGGATTGGCATTGACTTCTCGGTGGGGGCTGTGGTCCAGTTTGAGTGTAATGCTGGCTATGCTCTCAAGGGATCTCACAGCATTGAATGCTTGACAATGCCTGGAACTCTTGCCCAGTGGAACTCTTCGGTGCCTACTTGTCTTGGTATGTATCTGCCAAGGACAGGACTAAGTGGCATTCACAGCCAGTCATTCTGTGGCATGCTCATATTTTTTTTATAACAGACTTTAGAACATGTTTCTCAGCCTCAGCAGTCTTAGGATGTACGGGCTTCAACTCCCAGAATTCTTGGAGTTCAAGTCCACACATCTTAAAGTTGCCAAGGTGAGAAACATTGCTTAAGAGCTATGACTCAACCCATGGTCGAAACTAAAGAACTTTGGCTGATCTTGGAAAAAAGTTGTGCAGGATTGGATCTGGCTGGCTATGGAATTCTGGGAGTTGAAGTGTATACATCTCAAGATTGCCAAAGTTGGGAAGCACTACTTTATGGCAAAGATGAAAGCAAAGAAGGGCTGGGCTGTTCTTTGTTTAGCGATCTGTGATTTCCCAACTCCATTTGGAACAGTAGAAATCCTTCTGAAATGCATCCATCAGAAATATATCATAATCACATATGTTCTTCAAATGATTGCTGTAATAGTTCCAGTGTAACTTCTAATATGGGTATATGCAAGGTTATTTGGTATTTGCAGAATTAACTTTTCTGGCAATATTAACCATAAATGTGCACATTAAAAAGCAAGATTCTAACCCCGGTGATTTCCTCAGAAGGATTTAGATGAACCCTCCTGATAGCTTAGAAATCTTGGGATTGGTGGAGAAACATTTCTTGTGAGTTCAGGGTCCTGCATCTTTTCTTCCCCCTCCTCAAAGCTAGCAGAAATTAAAATACATTTTGCTAAATTGTGTTGCCAAATAAATTATGCAGGGATAGAGCTCATTTCATTTCAGATAATTTGCAACTTTTATCTTGGGTACGGTTTCCTTCCCAGAGAGACTTGTGTCAGGGAAAACAGAAGGCATGACTCGGTGTTGCTGCGGGAAACGGCTGAGGCTCTAGCAGGTGCAAATCATATGTAGATGCTGCAGGAAAGGAGTGGGGAATGTTCTTTCAGCAGATTCTCCTTTTTTTATGTTGTATGCAAAGTCATCCAGCAAGGATTCATGACAAATTGGTGCACATCTCAGAGTCTGAACATTCTCTGTCTTTGCTGCAGGGTTTTCCTTGGGATACAAATCCTTCCTAAAGTTATTTATTTATTAAACAAATTAATATAGCTACCCAAGCCACACACAGGTGACTCTGGATGGCTTAGCCTTACAATATTTAAAAAAAAATCCATCGCATAGTAAAAACCCATTAAAAACACCACAATGGCAACAACAATACAATCAAATCAGCCACTTAATTGGCTCCATTCATAGTACCCAGGCCCATTAGCAAAACCATGTTTTTGAGAAAGCAACAGGATGGGGGCAACTATATCTTGGGGGAGATAATGTTCAATAAAGAAGCCCCCCCCCAAGAAAGCTCTTTTGTCACATTAGATGTACATCCCTAATCAATGAGACCCATGACATGCCCTACCTCCCCTTCCCTGTTATCTCCAAATGATATAGGAGGAGAGCCATGTTAGTCTACAGTGGCCAAACATCTGAAAGTCTGGAAGCATCTTTGTTGGTCTTAACTGGTGCTACCAGACTTTTATCTCCAAACAAGGAAGTGTCACTATAGCAAAAGCAGTATTGATGTGGAAGGTTGTCTTCTTCACCGGGCAAAGTGGAAAGGCAGGTTATGGTACCTGGGTTACCTGCAGAAGGAGGATCATGACACAAAGCAATTAATCCAAAGAACAATGATTATTTGTATGTGCACAAAATGCAGAGATTAACGGGCATTAACGGGTTGTCTTTTGGCTTTTTTGAATACATGGCAATTTGTGTAGCAAAAATCAAAACCTGGGTTGGGAGGCTAGGCATTTGAGAGAATAATTGGATAATAATTCCGAAGATTAGAAATAGGTACCTAACTGCCATGATGAGTAGAATGATTTCAGTCTCAAGGACTGTTGATGTAACACAGACTTTCTTGTCTATTTCAGTGCCTTGTGGTGGAAACTTAACAGAGCGAAAAGGCACCATTTTGTCCCCTGGATTCCCTGAGCCCTACTTGAACAGCCTCAACTGTGTGTGGAAAATAACTGTCCCTGAAGGAGCTGGAATACAGGTAAAGCATAGCTATAAAGAATAGCTAAGTTGATAAGCCAGCTCAGATTTCGAAAGAAAGGACTCGAAGAAAGAGTGCTCTCTTTCTTTAGCTTGTAGCCTAACCAAGAAGTCAAGATGTTGGTCTTCTAATCTGCTTTTCCCCCTGCTAGACTAGTTATTATTAAAAAAAAAAAATACTGTCCAGGATTTAATTATGTGGCAAGTGTCAAGGAGACTATTTATCTCACAGAAGACATTGTAGGTGGAGGGCTATGTCTATGGCAGCCAGAGAGTCAGAAAGGATCTGATAGCATCTTTTCAGGCTAATAGAAATTTTGTTAAAGGGCATGAGCTCACTTCATCAGATGTAAAATCTGATATCAGGGTTCTTCTTTTGATGATCCGGCTAGCTCAGATTTGAAGATGGAAAGCAAAGAATACAGTTGGATAGAAATTCTTTCTCTCTGACCAGGCAGTCTGTGAAGCAGTCTGCCAGTTTCAAAAGCACTGATGAGCATTTATATGATGAGTAATTGGGAGAATTGGAGGAACTCTTGGTTAATAGAAGTACCTACCCTGCTGCCTATCTTCCTGAATTAACCAGACATGTCACTTGGTAATGTTCAGCTCCTTGTCCTGAAGGTTTTGAGGTTGCCTAATCAAGAACAGCTCAATATTTCATGTCTTCCAAGACAAGCAAGGACCTCTCCCAGATGGATCTGACTCCATGCTCCCAATAGGGCATATGTTTAAACATCCTATCTGACAGTTGCATGCAAATGGTTTTGCACTGAGCAGGTTTACTACAAGCTTTGTGCCATCTAAAAGATGTATGCCTTAGGTGAAGGATATGAAAACACGATTATCAGATTACCAGGTATGGAAGAATGGGACAGGACAGAACAAAGATTCAAGGGAATCTTGATAATCAGAAACACTGGGTAGAAAGCAAAACATTGAATTAGAACTAAAATGAATACCAAATTTTATGTTTGAATAGGAAAAAAAAATAAAGGCATAAGTACTGTGGAGGTAGACCATGTTGTATAGCACAATGTGAAAGTTTTGGGGTCAATTCCAAGCTGTGTCAACAGAGGTGAAGTTCACTTAAATCTGATCCTCTTTGTTCTGCATTGGTCATATCACACCTAGAATTTTTCATCATATTTTAGAAAGGCACTGGCCAGATGGAGTATGTCCAGAAGAGCAACCAAGACCATAAGGGGTATAGAAGAGAAACCTATGAGGAATGGTTAAAGGTCTTGAACATGCATTTAACTTGAAGAAGAAAAAATTGTGCAGGAGGAGCCATGGAAAGCCGGCTGCTGGAGCATGCTACAGCAGCTCTCTTGGTTTTATTTTATTTTATAAATTTTTAGTACTCCCACTGGATCCTTTTTATTTAAATAATATTTTCTGGAGAAGATAACAGCGTAGACCACAACACAGACAAAAGTTTTTGTTTTGCTAAGAACTAACAAGGCATGGGGAAAAGAAAGAAGTGCCATGGTACTAGCCCAGGATCTCTCCCACCAGTGAAGACTGCAAAACAACCAAGAATTGAGGAGCACTTTGCTGGCAAGAGATTTGTAAGTAAAACTAATCCCCCCCTCCATTTCCAACAATCTAGAGAAATTAGAACAGGACCTGCAAAGAGATCTGACAAAACAGCAGATATTAGACTTTCCCGATTTAGTGGGGGAGGAGCAAAATGACTGCCAGATTTTTTCACAAACAACTAAGTCAGTTGATATGGAGACGGTGATAAAGACTAAAAAGATTAACAATAATCTAATTCAAAGTGAGGAGAGCTTACTCTGGGAGAATACAACAGAGTTTATGGCAAAACAATGCCTTCTCACAGCGCAAACGGTTGTCTCAATATTTGAACAATTAATAACCATCCAACACGATGTAGAGACATTTAAAAAAAAAGATATCACTGTCTTTCTGCAAGCACAGCATCAGGCTACATACCCCATCACCAACGTACTTACGGTAGACCTGGGTAAATCCCATACTCAGGATATGGAAGAAGAAAAAGAACAAAGACCCAGGGAAACAGTTAAAAAACCTGTTAAAAAGTGGCAGTCCTCTCAGAAAAACAGCCCTTCTCCAGACAAGGCAACAAGAGGAGGAGGTATCAATAGAGAAGTTTCATTGGAAGCCAGGAAAGCATCTCCCCTACAATCACATCGCTCATTGCAAACACAACGCATTGCTTTGAGAATCCATATGAACAGACTTAATTACGGACGATGGATTACTAAGTGTGCTATACTAAATTCCCTAGTCAGCTTCTTCACTGCCATGGGGGGCAGATTGATCTTCGTGCTGTGGAGTGGCTTCCCGAGGTCCCAAATTGGAAGTGGATACTCCTGTCTTTCAAGCAGCCCACCATACCACTGATGCTGTTTAAGATGAAGGCACATTTAGCCTCCTTCCAATTTTTTCCCATCAGAGGTGTCTGTGAGGAAAAGGTTAAACCTTTAATTATTAACATGCGAGCTGTCATGGCTGCTGTGTCTTCTGCATTCTCAACCTTGGAAAAAAAAGAGAGAAAGAAAGTGGGAGTCAGCTAGCCTTGATCGGTGAAGATCTACTTAACAGCACAGAAATGGGCCTCATTAATGCTTTTGGAGCTCTCCCAAGAAAAGAACAAGATAACATATTATTCAAGTTAGAAAATTTAAAGAAATCCTTGTTGGTCACAATGGACACTGTTGAACCGCCTATAGATCTGGTCTCCCCAATAATTGAACCTCTTACTTCTCCCCCAGAGGGCAAGAGACTGCACGAATATGAATCAGAAAACAGAAGCCAAGATACACAGGGACCACTAGAGGCTCCTGTAGAGATGGAGATACTATCATCCTTATGTGAATATCCTGTGACACCTTCAGCACCACAACAAGAGATTGGGAGAGGTCTCACGACAGTACCATCATCTCAAAGTTGAATGAAGCATGACCTAATAACCTCTTTCCCTATACTTAAGAGAAGAAGCACAGGAATGGCAAGCTCTGCTAGCTGGTGCTAAAACCCCTTATTCTGAACAATTTTCTCAGGAGTCTACACAGGATTCAGATGGGTCTCCCCTCCTTTTAGAGAAAGCCAATTTCATGCGCGATGACACCTCAGTCCATTGCAACAACCCTACAACTTCCCTTTGTATAAATCAAATTTCCTGATGAGCGGCAAAAGATGATCCCCTCTCCATTATAACCTGGAATATAGCGGGCTGGACTGTCCCATCAAAAGACCAACTCTTTTTTGACTACATATCACAATTTAAAGAATAAAAACTGGTTTGATAGTGATTGCGTACAACTGAAAAGGACATATAACAAAGAGTATAGGAAAAGTAAAAATGCCCCTTCTGAGGATCACACGCACTACTTAAAGCAGTTGAAGGCACAATATAAGACCCTGCTAGAAGAAAAGAAAAGTGTGGCTCTGAAGGAGTCTTGGCATAGATTAATTGCAGCAGTCAAGACAAAAAATACATTCCTTTTCTGGCACATCACTAGAGGACAACGAATCAGGTACCATTTCATGCCTGGGAAGAATATTTTAGAGAGCTATATACAGACCTTGACTATGTAACTAAGGAGAGCCAAATTAGTTTGGACCAAACTCCTTACTGGCCCCCGGTCAGGGGTGGGATTCTACCAGTTCTCACCTATTTGCTAGAACCGGATGTTAACATTCTAAGCAGTTCAGAGAACCGCTTGTTAGAAGAAATTACTGGCCTAATCCTGTAAGGAAGGCAGGAAGGAAACATTCTGGTGTTGCTTACAGAAACTGCCTCTCCGTTAACCCTTATTACATTCTTGGCAGGACTGAACTTCCTGTCTCAGAAAGTTCTCTGGAGTTTTTCCCCCCTCCTTTGCTGGTACTTTGCTTGTGTGGAGTGACCATTTAAAGTTACAATGGCACTGAGAAAAGTGATTTATCACCATTTTTCATACTTACGACTGTTGCAGCATCCTCACAGTCATGAGAGGCCAGGCAAGGAGATACGTGCCTCGATGTGAGTGATATTGAGTTGGCCATGCCCAGCCAATAACATGACCACCAAGCCATGTCCACCCAGACACATGACCACCAAGCCATGCCCACCACCTAAGCCACGCCCACAGAACCAGTTGTTAAAAATGTGAATCCCACCCCTGCCCCTAGTTACACCAGGAGAGATATCCCGGTTGATCGGAACCCTCAAGGCTAATAAGGCACCAGATGCTGATAATGTTCTGCCAGAAATAATCAAAAAGAATGCCAGTTGGTGGGCTCCACTCTGTTTACATTTATAGATAAAACAGGCCATATGCCAAGAGATTGGGGATTAGCAATTATCATACCAATTTATAAAAAAGGTAATAGAAATGACCCAGGTAATTATAGACCTATTAGCCTTCTGAGTGTTATTAGTAAATTGCATGCCAAACACCTAAACTATAAACTTCAGGATTGGCTAATTTCTGGGGGGATAATCAAAGATGAGCAAGCTGGTTTTAGAGAAGGAAGATCTATGATGGATCATATGTTGGTACTTTACCATCAGATTCAAAAATACACGAATAAAAAAAAAAATCCTCTCTTTTAGTGGCCTTCCTTGATTTTAAGCAGACCTTCGATTCAATATCCAGGAACACTCTCTGGGAGAAAATAAAACGCACTACCATCGATAAACGCCTCCTTTTCCTCATACAAAAACTGTATGCTAATTCCACCTTGAAAGTAAGGTGTAATCCTCAAGGGACTTTAACCGGCCCAGTAACGGTACAAAAAGGGGTATGGCAGGGTTGTATCCTATCCCCCTCCCTGTTTAACTTCTACATTAATTCTCTGATCAACCTTTTACAGAACCCTGATTTACATCCTCCTAACGTAGCACAACATAAAATCCCGATTCTCCTATATGACGACGATGCTGCTATAATTTCACAAACTCCAATTGGACTGAAGAGAGCAATTACGGCAACACTTGAATTTTGTAAACAGAATAAGCTGGTCCTT